CATATGAATGTAAAGAATGTGGAAAAGCTTTTAACCAAAAGTCACACCTCAGCATGCATCACAGAATTCACAAAGGTGATAAGCTGTATGAATGTAATGAATGTGGAAAAAGTTTTGTTTTTTTTGGTGGAAAAAGTTTTGGGTTTTTTTGTTTTTTTTTGACAAAGTCACAGTTTAGAAATCATCAGGATACAAGACAGGCCTTGTAGTGAATTCCCCCTAACAGACAGAAAAGAATTCACACAAAGGAAAATCTCAGTGAATGTAATTTGTATGGGAAAAGATTTTGCCTGAAGTCATACCTCAAGACATTAGAGAACTTATATCAAGAAGAAGACCTATAAATATACAGTTCTCCTCAGGTATTGAAGATTTTCTTGAGGATCCCCTATTGATATAAAAATTTGCTGATGCTCAAGTCCCTTGTATAAATGGTGTAGTGTTTGTGTATTACCAATTCACTTCCTGCTGTGTACTTTACGTCTTGTGTAGATTACTTATAATAATGGAAAAAATGTGAATACTATGTAAATAGATGTTATACTGTGTTGTTTTTCAGTTGTAGAATTGTTTCATTTATTTACATTTTTATTTTTGAGGATTTTTGATAAGTAGTTGCTTGAATCACCAGAATTTTTACCATCAGATATGGAGGGATGACAGTATTGAGTCTGAAAACATCTTTTCTCAGAAGTCTCAAGGCTGGCTATGGTTACAGTATTGTTACTTATAGCATTGTGCTCATAACACAAAGGATCCCTATACAAGCTACATACAAAAAAAATAAATAAACAAATAAAAAAGGAATCACATCATAGCAGGCATTAGGGAATTTACAGAGGGGAGAAATTCTGTACGGATTGGACTGTGTCTTTTTAAAATAAAACCACACTTTTCTCTTGTATGCATAGCATGCAATCTGAGCATTCCATGATTGGGTAGATGACCATGTAATTTAACTCTGTTTGGGGGAATGTAGATATAACTGATGAACATTACTTCNTTCATTTATTTACATTTTTATTTTTGAGGATTTTTGATAAGTAGTTGCTTGAATCACCAGAATTTTTACCATCAGATATGGAGGGATGACAGTATTGAGTCTGAAAACATCTTTTCTCAGAAGTCTCAAGGCTGGCTATGGTTACAGTATTGTTACTTATAGCATTGTGCTCATAACACAAAGGATCCCTATACAAGCTACATACAAAAAAAATAAATAAACAAATAAAAAAGGAATCACATCATAGCAGGCATTAGGGAATTTACAGAGGGGAGAAATTCTGTACGGATTGGACTGTGTCTTTTTAAAATAAAACCACACTTTTCTCTTGTATGCATAGCATGCAATCTGAGCATTCCATGATTGGGTAGATGACCATGTAATTTAACTCTGTTTGGGGGAATGTAGATATAACTGATGAACATTACTTCCAGTTCACGCACCAAAATAAAAATTTCCATTCAGTTCCTGAGTTCTCATGTTCTCTGGGACTGAATGAAGATGACTCTTGGGTGGAGTTGGAGACCACAGGTGGGAGCAATCCACCCTAATTTAAAATAGAAGGAATTAAAACCAGACATTCTCACCACTATCTGAAACCCTCCATTTATACATTGTATAAGAAATTATTTCCTTGTTGAGCCATTGTGTGTGTGCTCTGTTTGCATTACAACACACCCAGCCCACCCCAGCTAGATGACTTTATAAACTTCCTTTTTTTTTTAGGATACAAAATATATATATATATGTTTTGTTTTGTTTTTCCGTAGTCCTTTTATTTTTTTTTATTTTTTTATTTTGTTTTGTCGATATGCATTTTGGTTGATTATTGTTGCCCCTTACAAAAACCTCCCTCCCTCCTCCCTCTCCTCCCTCCCCCCAACAATGTCCTTTCTGTTTGCTTG